CTTTCTCGCTACCAGGGAGAGGGCTGCTTTTAGCCTCTCCCCTTTCATGGCCTCCATCTAATAATACCTGAGTTCGCTGGTTGTGGGCAGAGCTGCAGCGAGGATCCGCCCCCTCGTTGCTTCTCAACTAATCGAAACGAGTGGAGGTGGAGGCTACCCTGCCGGCCCCGCCCCCTGGGCACTGGGCAATTTAGAGCCGCGCGCCCGCGGGAACGTAAGATGGCGGAGTAGCAATGCGAAGCTTTTAGTACGGAGTCTCTGGGCTGACTTTGGTTCAGGGCTTGCAGCAGCAGTGATCGCTGAGCAAAGAGTGCCTAGGGTCATTGGCCAAGATGCCGAATATCAAAATCTTCAGCGGCAGCTCCCATCAGGATTTGTCCCATAAAATTGCTGACCGCCTGGGCCTGGAGCTAGGCAAGGTGGTGACTAAGAAATTCAGCAACCAGGAGACCTGGTAAGGGTGAAGTTGGGATCCCCACCGCCACACCTGCCCGAGCTGCAGGGCGATATGTGGGCGGCAGAGAGTAGGGGCAATGGGGCTGCCGCGTGAGTTCTAAGGGACAGGGTTTTGGGGGGGAAGGGTCAGCTGTGAGGCTAGCGTGCTCTATGGACTGTTTCCGTTATTTTACCTCTCGAGGCGGGTGAGGGGGTGTCACATTGGTTCTCACCATGGTGGTGGGGTGAAGCCAAGATTGAGCTTGAGGAGAAGCTTCTGGGTTTGAAGGCTAGGGTTGGAGGACCCAACCGGAGGATAGTGGCTGCCTAAAGCCACGAGAGGGGAAAAACGCTTAGCCTGGGCTGTGGGGACACGTGGCTTTGTCGCTTCGCTGTTGAGCCTCTTGGACCAGCTTGCATGAGAGAGCGTACTGAGTACTGAGCCCTCCTGGTGTTTCTAGAATCTAAGAAGCAGCTTATCAATTAGAAACTATGTTGCGTTTGGTATTGAGGGAAATTAGCATGTGTTGTAACATGTGCTGAGGGCGCCAAAATGATTACTGAGGACTTCCGTAGGTTGACAAGCGTTGGCTTTCACAACTTTAGAGTTGCATGTTTAGAATATTAGAGCCATAGTTATGTTAAATCTAGTTGATAAGGTAATGATGCATTAACTGCATCCTCATTGCTAGCATCTTAGCTTGAGTCATCCAGAAAATCTTAGGGAACCTTAATCCTGGAATTCTTGACCTTCCCCAAATTCAGCTACTGGTACAGATAATACAAAAATATATATTTTAGTAGTGAAGTCTATCCCGAATGGGTCCACTTCTCTTTGTGCTGCGTGGGAAATTAAGTCAACAGTTTTGAATGTTAAGATAATTGAGGAAAGATACTAATGGAGTCAAAGACCTGAATGACTTAGTGTCTTGCAACTCGATTTTTTTTTCATTGCTTTGCTAATTAAAATCCCCTCCCTCCCCACCCCACACACTTCCACCCTCCTGCACCTTGAGGACCTCTTAGAGATAACTTGATGTGTCTGGGCTTTTCCATATATCTTCCATCTAAATGTAGAATCCTCTGGTTCTGATAGACCTACTTTATGTTTTGTTGTTACCCTGTTGATAAAATCAGAGCAGTGCTCACAATCTTAGGCATCTGTTAAGGGGAAAGTTTACACCAAACCTAATGATTAGTTAAATAAGTTAAGATTGCTTTCAGCATGTTTTCCTAAATGCTTTTATTTCCATTTTTCTCTCTTTAAACTTATTACCAAAGTGTAACTCTTGTTATACTTTGTAGACCCTGCTGATAAAAGCATTCATGTGTAGTGGACAGCTTCCTTCTGAATGTTGGATTATGCCACTGGTTGTGATGCAAATAATAGTGCAAACATTGATGCCATCCGTAACCAGGCAATACCTTAGTCAAAAGAGGCTAGTCAAGCTGCTGTCTTTAGCTTTGGCCACACCATTATGACTCATGGGCTGTATTAAAAAAAGAAGACAAAACATGACCAGACTTTGCAAATGGCAGTATAGCTAGGGGACAAGAAAAATTTTCATTTAGAGGTTTTTTGGGGGATTTTTTTGGTCCCCTTATAAAACTGTGCTTATTAAATCCTTTTCTTATGCTTCTAGGAAAAATACAAAAACTTTATTCACCCTCTGTGTAGTGCAACACACCAGAACTTGAGACTATATTGGGAGAGAGGAGAGGGTGAGCAACTTATTTTTCAACTGATTGATTTATCTGAATTTATCAGCAATCTCAATCTACTTTTCTGAGGTGTAAGGCTGATTTCATTTTTAAACAACTGGACAGTAAACATGCCTGGAAACACTGGATAAGATTAAGCCCAATGTGGAAAGTTGCTGACTGGTTAGGTTTCTTTGTTTCTGGCTTAATCATTAGCTTTTTGGTTCTTTAGATGTTCTGAAATCCTCATTGAACATAACCAAGTATGTTGCATATGGAGCTTCCCCTCCCGACCAAACTTTGGCTTTTCTGCAATGCAGAAATGGTGACTGCAGCCCCTTGTGACTCTTAGAATCTAAAGATCATGGATAGGGCAGTTCAGTGGGTGCTGTGGGTCATCAGATGGGGAACTGCAGAGCCCATCCTCAAGTGAGACAGAGTTTTGCTATTTTCTGCAGTTTGGCAGAATCTCAGAGGTTGATGCTCTCTTGAACAGAATGGCTTTTCTTCTGAAGTCAGAGGCATCCATTACTGTCCAGTTATTAAAGAAATATGCATATGGTATAGCACAATGCAAATAGTTAAGAGAGTTTAAAACTTAGGCCCTTGACTCAGAGAGCCTGGATTTGAATCCTTAGCCTTTCTTTGTCTCAATAATTTGAACTGTAAAGTGGTATCTACCCATAGAGTTATTGTGAGGTTTGAAATAGGACTGAGGTTTTTAGATCTTTGTCCATTTAACACAATAAATGTTGGTAAGAAGGGGTGATGATGTTATTGCAGAAAATGTGAAATATGATATAGAAAAGAATGAGGGGTAGAAAGAAATCCCTCAAAATTCCACCATCCAAGACAAACTTCATTCTGATGTATGACCTTCCAGATGTTTGTGTGTGTGTTTATATACTTTTTTCCCAAAAATATGACACGTTATTTATAGCTTTCTTCACTTTGCAATATATTTTGAATAGTTTCTCCCCTTAATAATTATTCTACATGGTTTAAAACAACATTTATTTACTTATTTATTTATTTATTTATTTATCCATTGGTTTTTAGAGAGAATGGAAGGGATGGAGGGGGAGAGAGGTGGGGGAGAGAAAGTAAGAGAAACATCAATGTGAGAGAGATGCAGTTTGGTTGCTTCCCACAACTCCCAGGGCACTTCACCAGGAATCAACGCCCCCCCCATCCCAGACCCTTCAATGTGCGGGCTGACACTCTACCACTGACCTACACTGGCCAGGACTCAAACAGCTTTTAAACAGTATAGTTTGTTTTAGGGTTTTACCATAATTTTAGATAACCAAGTCCCTATTAGGTATTTCCATTTTTTTTTTATGGAATAGTTTCAGGAAAATTTTATTTTTTACCTATTTGATTTTAGAGAGAGGAAGGGAGAAAAACAGCGATTTATGGTTCCACTTGGTCATACATTCATTGGTTGATTCTTATATGTGCCCTGACCGGGGATGAAATCTGCAACGTTGGCATATTGGAACAATGTTCTAACCAGCTGAGATAACCTGGCTCAGGAATACTTAGAAAAGTAATAAAAATTGGGATGAAATGTGCAT